GCCATGTGAGATGCCTTGCTTCCCCTTTGCCTTTCACCATGATTGTAAGTTCCTGAGGCCTCCCCAGAAACAGAAGCCACTATACTTCCTTTATAGCCTGCAGAACTATGAGCCAATTATAACTCTTTTCTTTGTAAGTTACTCAGTCTCAGGTTATTTCCTTTCTTTTCTTTTCTTTTTTTTTTTTTTTTTTGGGATGGAGTTTTGCTCTTTTTGTCCAGGCTGGAGTGCAATGGTGTGATTTTGGCTCACTGCAACCTCCACTTTGTGGATTCAAGTGATTCTCCTGCCTCATCCTCCCAAGTAGCTAGGATTACAGGCACACACTACCATGCCCAGCTAATTTTGTCATTTTAGTAGAGATAGGGTTTCACCATGTTGCTCAGCCTGATCTCAAACTCCTGACCTCAGATGATCCTCCCACCTTGGCCTCACAAAGTGCTGAGATTATAGGCATAAGCCACTACACCCAGCCTCAGGTATTTCTTTATAGCAGTATGAGAATGGACTTAATACAGATGGCTTCTTTCCTTAAACCTCATGAACCAACCTCTGCTAGCTTCAAACTTTTCTTGTGCAGCTTTCTTATCTCTCTCAAACTTCATAGAATTGAGGAGAGTTAAGGCCTTGCTCTGGATTATGCTTTGATGTAAGGGAATGTTGCATCTTGTGTGATCTTCTATCCAGACCACTAAAACTTTCTGCATATCAGCATGAAGACTGTTTTACTCTCCTATTATTCATGTGGTCTCTGGAGTAGCACTTCGATTTTCCTTCAAGAATTCTTCCTTTGCATTTGCAACTTGGCTTACTATTTGGCTCGAGAAGCCTAGCTTTCAGCCTGTCTCAGCTTTCAACGTGGTTTTCTCACTAAGCTTCATCATTTCTAGCTTTTGATTGAAAGTTAAAGACATGTGACTTTTCCTCTTATTTGAACACTTACATGCCATTGTAGGGTTATTAATTGGCTAATTTCAATATTGTTGTGTCTCAGGGTATAGGGAGGCCCAAAGAGAGGAATTAAATTGGGGGGAACAGCTGGTCAATGGAGCTGTGAGGACACATAAAACATTTATTAAGTTTGCCATCTTCTATGGGCATGGTTTATGGTGCTCCAAAACAATTACAGTAGTAACATTAAGGATTGCAGATCACTGTAAGAAAAATAATCATAATGGAAAACTTTGAAATATTGCAAGATACAACAAAATGTGACACAGAGACATGAACTGTGCATGTGCTATTGAAAAAATGGTACTGACAGCCTTGCTTGATGCTGGGTTGCCACAAACCTTCAATTTATTTAAAACAAAAACCAAAAAACTTAGTATCTGTGAGTCACAATAAAGTGAAGCACAATAAAATGAGATATGCTTGCACTTATATGTACACATATAGGTATACATACAGGTTAAATAAAAACTATGGCATTTTCTCTGGAAGTTTGATTTAACATTCATTTGAAATACCTTGACTCACTGGTGTGGGTGTGTTACTGTATTTCTTGTAAGGACACCTTCCTTCTTGAGAGAATGCTGGTTTGAAAAATAAATATGAGAGTTCTTGGTCCAAATTCCTATTATAGGTTAAAAATCAAATTGTTTTACAGAAAATGTTTAATCAAACCATGCTGCTAAAATACGGGGCAAAACAATTCATAATGCTGGATTCCCAATAATTTATTCATTCAACATCAGCAAATATTTATTGAGTGTTTACTGCTTGCTGGACACTGTTCTAGGCCCTTTTGTTGATCAGTGAATGAAAGAGACAAAATTCATGTCCTCATAAATTCTAGCAGGGATCCAGGGATGGGGAATAAGCAATGAACAATATACATAAAAATATGAGTAAATGATATAATATGTGTTATATTAGAAAGTGATAAGCACTATAGAAGAAAACAGAGTGGGGTAAGGAGTATAGGGACTGCTGGAGCTGGGCGGATGGTTGTAATATCAAGTATACGTATCACATACAGTAGTCAGTGTGGGCTTTGTTGAGAAGGTGAGATTGAACACTTGAAGGAAGTAAAAGAATCATTTCTAGCAGAAGAATTATAGCCAAGGGCGTAAATAAGATTATAACTGTAATGTGTGACAAACAGCAAGGAGACTAGTGTGTTTGGGGTAGAGTAGGATGATGGAGACAGTAATATGAAATGAGATCAGAAAGTTATAGGGACATTTTTAGGACTTTGGCTTTTAGTGTTAAGTGAAATAGGGAGCCATTGCCGGGTTTTAACAATCTACATCTGGGTGTTGTGTGATCATTGGAATGTTAAGAGGAGTGATTGAAAGTGGCTTACTTTTTTTTTTTTTTTTTTTTTGAGATGGAGTCTCCCTCTATAGCCCAGGCTGGAGTGCAGTGGCATGATCTTGGCTCACTGCAACCTCCACCTCCCGGGTCCCAGTTCAAGCGATTCTCCTACCTCAGCCTCCCAAGTAGCTGGGATTATAGGCACAAGCCACCATGCCCTGCTAATTTTTGTATTTTTTAGTTGAGACGGGATTTCACCATGTTGGCCAATCTGGTTTTGAACTCCTGACCTCGTGATCCGCCTGCCTCGGCCTCCCAAAGGGATTACAGGCATGAGCCACCGTGCCCGGCCTGTGACTTAAATGTTTAAAGGCACTACCCTGACTGCTGTGTTGATGATGGACTGATTAAGGGGCAAGGGTAGAGGCAGGGAGACTAACTGAGAGCAGTCTGGGCTAAAGACAATGGTGGTGGCTTGGACCAGGGTGATTGATAGTGATGGAGGTGGTGGGATGTGGTTAGATTCTGAATACATTTTGAAGATAGAAATGATACGATTTTCTGACTGATTAAATAGATGTGTAGTATGAAAGAGTAGACTCCAGGATGATTCCAGGGTTTTTGATCTGAGCAACTACAAGGATGAAGTTGCCATCAACTGAAATGGGAAAGGCTGTGGTTGGACCCCATTCGGAACAAAAGATTGAGTTCATTCTTCTGCTGTGGTATGACTTGGAAATTCTGAAACTACTTTCTATGTATCTTGGGACTGAGCACATAAGTAAAGTGAGAATAACAGGAGCTAGGTCTCTCATTGTTAGAAAAGGGAATTACAGGCTGGGCATGGTGGCTAATGCCTATAATCCCAGCTCTTTGGCAGGACAAAGTGAGCGGATCACTTGAGGTCAGAAATTCAAGACCAGCCTGACCAACATGGCAAAACCCTGTCTCTACTAAAAATACAAAAATTAGCTAGGCATGGTGGTGGGCACCTGTAATCTCAGCTACTCAGGAGGTTGAGGCAGGAGAATCTCTTGAACCCGGGAGAGGGAGGTGGCAGTGAGCTGAGATTGTGCCATTGCACTCCAGCCTGGGTGACAAGAGCAAAACAACGTCTCAAAAAAAAAAAAAGAAAGAAAGAAAGAAAGAAAGAAAGAAAGGGGAGTTACAAGTATGGAAAGTGCGGAGACTAAAATGAATCCTTTGATACTGGATTAGAATTAGAGATATTAGTGTAAACTCATGGTTTTTAATATTAAGATACAGAAATGGATATAAATATACACTCTCAAAAATACTTGCTTAACTTCATTACTGAGAATGCCTGCAAGGAATAACCCTCCAATAACGATGATCACATAACACCCAGATGTAGGTTTTTAAATGCCACTCTTTACTAAAAAAATCAGGTGCCTTTGAGAACTAGCTGATTCTGGGCCAGGGTAGATAAAGGGTAAGATGCGCCTGGGACATCTTACCGTGCCAGAAACTTTAAAAGTGCTCAAGTAATGATGACATGTAAAAAGGACAGGTGACAAATTGAAGGGGCTCCCTTTGGCCAAACCTAGGAATCTTTTAGCATCAAAATAAGGAATGAGCTGGGTGCAGTACCTGACCAGGCACAGTGGCTCACACTTATAACCCCAGCTCTTGGGAAGGCTGAGGCAGGTGGATCACTTGAGGCCAGGAGTTTGAGAACAGCCTGGCCAACATGGTGAAACCCCTTCTCTACTAAAATTACAACAGTTATCCAGGCACTAATTAACCAGCTACTCAGGAGGCTGAGGTAGGAGGATCTCTTGAGCTCAGGGGTTCAAGACCAGCCTGGACAACATTTTGAAACCCCATCTTTACAAAAAAATTACCTGGGCATGGTGACTTGGGCCTGTAATCCCAGCTCTTGGGGGGCTGAGGCAGGAAGATCACTTGAGCCCAGGAGGTAGAGGCTGCAGTGACCTTTGTTCATGCCACTGCACTCCAGCCTGAATGACAAAGTGAGACCCTGTCTTAAAACAAACACAAAAACAAAAACAATAAAATTGGATGTTTATCTTATGCCTTACACACACACACACACAAAAAAAAAACACCTCAAAATGGATTAAAGATTTAAACATAAGACCTGAAACCATAAAAATCCTAGAAGAAAACAGGGGAAAGGCTCGATGACATTAGTCTTGGCAATGATTTTTTTTTTATAGGGCACTGAAAACACAGGCATCAAAAGCAAAAATAAACAAGTAGGGCTACATCAAATTAAAAAGCTTCTGCACAGCAGAGGGAACCATCAACAAAATGAAAAAGTGTCCCTCAGAATGGGAGAAAATATTTATAGTCCATGTATCTATCTGATAAGGGATTAAATCCAAAATATATGAGACTCATACAACTCAATAACTGAAAAACAAACAACCTGATTTTAAAATGGGCATAGGAGCTGAATAGACATTTTTCCAAGGAAGACATAAAAATGGCCAACAGGTTTATGAAAAGGTGTTCAACATCACTGATCATTGGGGAAATATAAATAAAAACCACAATGAGATAGCACTTCAGACACATTAGAATGGCTATTAGAAGAAAGACAAAAGATAAGTTTTGGTGAGAATGTTTGTTATTGGTAAGAAAAGGGAACCCCTGTACACTATTAATGGGAATATAAATTAGTATAGCCATTTTGAGGGTGGGCATGGTGGCTTGTACCTATGGTTCCAGCTACTGGGGTGGCTGAGGTGGGTGAGCCCAGGAGGTTGAGGCTGTACTGAGCTATGTTCATACCACTTCACTTCAGCATGGGCAACAGAGCAAGACCCTGTCTCCAAAAAATAAAAAAGTATAGCCATTTTGAAAATCAGTATGGAGGTTCCTCAAAAATTTTAAAATAGAACTACCTCAGGGTGCAGTGGCTCACGCCTGTAATCCTAGCCCTTTGGAAGGCAGAAGGCTGAGGCAGGTGGACCACCTGAGGTTGGGAGTTCAAGAACAGCCTGGCCAACATGGTGAAATCCTCTCTTTACTAAAAATACAAAAATTTGCTGGGTATGGTGACACATGCCTGATGAAATCCTAGCTAATCAGGAGGCTGAGGCATGAGAATCGCTTGATCCTGGAGGCGGAGGTGGCAGTGAACCAAGACTGCGCCAAAGCAGTCCAGCCTGGGGGATACAGCAAGACTCTGTCTTTAAAAAAAAAAAAAAAAGTACCATGTGATCCAGCAGTCCCACTTCTGGGCATATATCCAAAGGAAATGAGTTGAAGAGATTTCTGCGCTCCCATGTTCATTGTGGCGTTATTCACAATAGCCGAGAAATGGAAACAATCTAAGTGTTCATTCATAGAAGAATGGATAAAGAAATTGTGTTAGGGTGAGGTGCAGTGGCTTACACCTGTAATCTCAGCATTTTGAGAAACTGAGCAGGAGGATCATTTGAGCTCAGGAATTCAAGACCACCCTGGGCAATGTAGCAAGACCCTGTCTCTATAAAAAATAAAAAATAGCTGCGCATGGTGCATGCCTATAGTCCTAGCTACTAGGGAAACTGAGGCAGGGGAATGGCTTGAGGAGAAGGAGTTTGGGGCTGTAGTGTCCACTCCAGTCAGGGTTGCAGAGTGAAATACTGTCTCAAAAAAAAAAAGAAATCGTGGAGCAGGTGTGTGTATATATATATATATATATAGATAGATAGATAGATAGATAGATAGTGTGTGTGTGTGTATATATATATATAGTGTGTGTGTATATATATATGGTATATGTATGTTTGTATATGTATACAATGGAATATTATTGGAATATAAGATATATTGCATTGGAACATAATATATGCATTTAATGAAATATATATACACACATATAAATGGTATATCATGTATGTATGTATATCTATATCACACATATATCTGTGTATGTGATACACATACTCCATTGTATACATATATGTGTATCCACATATAGAGATACACACACATGTGTATACAATGAAATACCCAGCCTGTAAAAAGGAGTAAGTCTTGCCGTTTGTGACAACATGAATGAAACTGGAGGGCATCATTCTGAGTGAAATAAGTCAAAGACAAATACTGCATGACCTCACATATGTGGAATCTAAGAAAGTCAAATTCATAAAAACAGAGTAGAAGATTAGTTACCAGGAGTCAGGAGTGGGAGTAGGGAGATGGGAGAATGTTGGTCAGATGGAACAAACTTGCAGTCATAAGTAAATTGTGGAGACCTAATGTATAGCATGGTGACTATAGTTAATAATAATGAATTGCATACTAGGAAAAAAGTTTTTAAATGGGTATAGAGTTTTTATTTTGCTAGATGAAGAGTTCTGGAGATTGGTTGCACAACAGTGTGAATGTACTTGACACTACTGAACTGCACACTTAAAAAAAAAACAAAGAGGCTGGGCGCGGTAGCTCACGCCTATAATCCCAGGACTTTGGGAGGCCAAGACAGGCAGATCACCTGAGGTCAGGAGTTCAGGACCAGCCTGGGCAACATGGTGAAACCACCTCTCTACTAAAAATACAAAAATTAGCCAGATGTGGTAGCATGTTCCTGTAATCCCAGCTACCTGGGAGGCTGAGGCAAAAGAATTGCTGGAACCTAGTAGGCAGATGCTGCAGTTAGTCGAGATTGTGCCACTGCACTACAGCCTGGGTGACAGCTAGACTCCATCTCAAAAAAAAAAAAATTGTTAAGATGGTATGTTATGTGTATTTTACCACAATTTTTTAAAAAATCTAAAAAGCAAAAATTAAGGAAACTTGTACAAAATATATTGAAGTCATGAGAGAAGTCATGAAAGACAAAGACTATGGAACTGCTGAAAATTAAAGAAGACTAATATGATACGACATGACAACTAAATACAATTTGTGATTCTGGATTGGATGGACCCTGAATCAATATGTTGCTTTGCAGTAATATATTGCAGCAATTGACTTAAATATGAGTAAGACCTGTGAGTCAGGTAACAGTACTGTATCAGTGTCAACTTCTCAAATTGGGTAATTACACTATGGTTTTGTTAGAGAATATTCTTGTTCTTAGGAAATAAAGGGTCATCATGCCTACAATTTCAAGTGGCTCAGAAAATAATGATATATTTATACATGATATATGGATAAAACTGATTAAATATTGGAAAATGTTAATTATCAGGGAATCTGGATAAAGAGAATATGAGTGTTTTGTACCATTCTTGCAACTTTTTATAAATCTGAATTTATTTTAAAACAAAAAATTGCAAAATGGAGTTTGATCTTGGACATGTGAAGTTCAAGATATCTATTAGACATCTAAGTAGAAATGACAAATAGGCAGTTGTACACACATTGTGAAACTTGAGACAAAGATTAGGGCTTAACTTATCAAATTTGGGGTCTACATATAAATGGCATTCAATGCTATGAGGGTTGGTAAGATCACCAAGGGCATGAACTTAGGTGGAACAGAAACAAGCATTAGGCTTTGGAACAATCCAACATTCTAACATTAAATATTTCATTATATTTGCCTCAATAATATTTATGGCTTCACTGTTAGTTGGCCAAGGTAAAGAACTTGAGATTTATTTGAAAGCAACTTGAGAGGAGGCTGGGCACAGCAGCCCATGCCAATAATACCAGCACTTTGGAAGCCCGAGGGGGCAGATCACCTGATGTCAGGAGTTTGAGACCAGCCAGGCCAGCATGACGAAACCCTGCCTCTACTAAAATTACAAAAATTAGCCAGGCATAGTGCCACATGCCTGTAATCCCAGCTACTCAGGGAGCTGAGGCAGAAGAATAGCTTGAACCTGGGAGCTGGAGGTTGCATTGTGCCAAGATCACGCCACCGCACTCCAGCCTGGGCGGTAGATGGGGACTAAAAAAAAAAAAAAAAAAAAAAAAAACTGAAAGCAACTCGTGAAGAGAGAAGAAACAGTGTTAACAGCTGAGGAATGAAATTATTGTCTGTTTGATTCCTATCCCTAGCATTTGATGACTACAGCTTATTTTCTTTTTCCAGAAGTTTTGGTGCTTGCTTGCCAGCAGGTTGTTCCCAGAGATTGCTTGTGTTCTAGAAAGTGACATCATTTTGCATGTTGGTGAGCAGCTGGATAGAAATAGGCCTGCCTATCTCACGGCAGGGCAGAGCCTTGGAATGCAAATTCTTTCATTCAAATCACACTGAACTTCCTGATGTGAAATCAGCCGTCATCTCACAAGCTGCACTCATCAATTTCCTGGTAGAAGCAGCTGTGCTGCCAGGGATAGAATCCTCTGGCCAGCCATTATTAGATCTGAAAAAAAGCACCCCTGTTTTCCCTTTAGTGCTCAAGCCTTAGTGTCTGCCAGTTTGAATGGCAGTGGAGTTTAGGGATTTGTATGTACTTAATCTGAATGAGGTAGAGAGCCTAATGGTCATGACAGAATTGACAGACACCCTCTCCATGGAGTGTTGGATCACATATGCATTGCCTCTCATCAGTCTTCCTGTTTGAAACTAATGTCAAAGGCAATGTATAGTGCTGCCTCTTAACTTTAATAGGAAACTAGAACTAGAACCCTTGCTCACCTGTGTAGAGATTTGACGTCAGAGAACTCCATCTGTCCTTTAATACTTTTGCTGTACCCTGGAAATGATTTCTTTACTCATCTTCTAGGATACATCACTCACTCCTACCAATTAATAATAAGCATATCTATATCTTGTAGACCACTTTGCAATTTTCAAAGTTATATATCTATTATTTAATCTGGATAGCAGAACTAAAAAGAAGATAGTCTTATTCCCATTTTGTGGAGAAGGAATCATAGCTCAAGATCATATACCACCTGTAAGCAACTGTGGTTTTTATATCCATGATGACCATACCTTAGTTCCACGTTGAACCCGTTGAAGAAATGTAGCTTCGTTAGTTATATTATCTAACCAAGTCTCTTTAGTGTGATGTAGGAAATACCTCACACAAAAGACCATTTTACTTTATATAACATCATGTTGTCTACCTTAAATATACATAATATTTTTTTAAGACAGGTAAAAGAGGCCTTTAAAAGGTCTACTGGAAGTAGATGGGAAATCTCAATGTCATGAACTTTGAGAAACATATCTTTTTGTTGTCATTATGGTTTTGTTGTGTTTGTTTGGAGACAACAGAAGTCACATGGAGTGTAACAATTGTTTCTTGTGGTGTGTATGATCATTCTGGTTTTTCTATAAAAAGTAGAGATAGATAGACATGTTTTCTCTTTATCATTTACAAGCATCGTCTAGATTATAAGACAGCAACTGTCACTGGTAGATTTCAATAATATAAAAACTTAACAGTAGAAGTCACGCCCAGGGGAAAAAGCCACTTACCTTGGAGGCAGAACTACATCAAGAAAGCTCAGGCGCAAGGAGACCACAGGCCAGGAGACAGTTTCTCCTACAGAGACTAGGTTCTATCAGCAATTCTGGTATTTTGCGTCATTGCCAGCAGGCACCCTGAAGGGAATGAAATGAACCACAAGAGAATGTGTTGGTAAGAATATATCCTTTGTAGTCTTACTGCAGAATGGTGAATTTCTTTTGAGTTTGATCCATTTTTCTTCCCTAGAGCCAAAAATATGTTTGCTTGAGGAATCTCAGGAGTAGAATATTTGGGTGTGGATTGGGGAGAGGATTGGGCAGAGAACAGGACAACAATGAAGGCTGGTTTTAGAGAGGTAGAGCCAAGATGCTGTCAACAAGCATAGCAGTTAGAGTATTGGGAGATGAGATTTGGGAGTTACCCTTCAGGCCTTTATCATCGTTAAGAGTCATTGTCTTTCTGGTGCTAGCAGCATTCTTCTGTTA